TTAACATACAAGGAGACTTACAATTTCTGTAAGATCGGTTAGAATTTGCTGTTAATTTTCAGCTTTTACATTGGATTCTAACAACTCGTTACAAAATTTTTCCTTCACAGTTGTGGGCACGAGTTCTGTTATTCATGTGGGGCTGGCTATAGAAACGGGCAGCAAACGTGCGAATGCGCATTCTTGGGCACACAAGAACTACCCCCACTTTATACTGCCCAAGAACTCGAACGGTGGGCATGGGACTCGTTCGAGTCCTTCTTACCTATAACAATGGATTCATACTCGAACGAGGAGAGATCACAGCTGGCACTCATCCAACGGTTTTTGGCCGGATTCTTCAGCCTTTCCGACCATCAGCCTTACCAATCACCGCCTCATTGCACGGATTCCTATGCCGACGCCATGAAGGATGTGCGGTGCCAGCTGCCTTGGCTCGAGAGGTTCGTCTCAGTTATAAGCGATAATTATTATGAAGATTATGTCCAGTGAGAAATAAAGAAAATGAAAATAAAAATAGAGTGGTGGTTATTATTAGAGGAGGGTATAAGAGTATCTCACTCTTCGTGGCTCCTTTTAGTAGAAATCAGTCGGGCAAAGTTCTTGTTCGTTAGACTGTTCGAGCGTGAATTTTATGTTGTATTATGCGTGGATTAGATTTTTATTTTTTTTTTCTTGGTTTGGATGAGTAGATTAAGGGGGAGAAGAGATGGAAAAATTATGCGATGAGAAAACTGAGCTATTGAATTTTTATAAAATACCCGATTGTATTGAATGAACAAGTTTCGTTTTTTTTTTTCCTTGTATTTTGCATTTCTGGCCAAGTTATTTTTTTTCTTTTTTTTTGAGCTCTGAATTCTATTATTAGCTCTTGCAAATGCAATTTTCTGATTGTTCAAGCCCCATACAATTTGTGGGACCTCTGAAAATCTGGTCTTTTGCCCAAGGATATGTGAATCTAATGCCTGTAGAGTAACTACAAAGGTATAGAGCTCTAAAAAACAGACAACTGTAGAAAAGATCAAGCATTTGGAAGCCAAATGATTCAGATTCAGGCCAAACAATCTCAAAACGCTTTAAAAATGCTGATGCCCATTTGAAAAACTGATCAAGAAAACTAACTAGCTTCAATTGCAATCGTGAGAGACTGCAAAATCTTAACTTTAAAATCATGGCAAAAACGGTAACCAAGTCTAATACAAGAACAGGGAAAAAGATTAAAGCAGTTTCCTTTTTCCCCCTTTTTACCTCAATGTGAATCACAGCTGCAAAATCCACAAGAAATATAGATCGATCAAACTGCTAAAACCACAAGGAAGTGCCCATGAGCTTGGTGAAACTCAATCTCTATCCACTGTCCACATATTGCCAACATTTTTGTGTGTTTCCATTTATATCCTTATCGAGGTCAATTGACGTCTCAATGCAGTAGGCCCTTTTTCGTCATTAAATCACTCTGCAATCCCCAAACTACAACATGAATTATCCTTGCGCAGGGAGAGAAAAGGCCGCCAGGCCCGCCACTCTCCTACGATGGACGACGGGGATCGCCGCAGCCACGGCCGCCGAACATCCTCCAGCGGAAACGATCGGACCGGACAAGGACCACTGATGAGTACAGCAGTCGTACGTTCTATTATTTCCAGGTAACCCTAACATGTACCTTTCTGAATAACCAGCTACCGGCGCAGCCGCAGCCCGCCAAGTACATCCCGCCGCACCTTAGGAGCCGGGCGAGTGGTTCTGGCGCTGGACCCCACCCGTCTTCGTTCCAGCGATCCGGCGAAGTTGGTCCCACGGGGAGATCGTCTTACCCGCCTCCAGCTCCTCCTGCTCACCGGACCTCTCGATTTGGGTCAGGTAAATTTTTTTTGTTCTTCTTTCCCGCATTTTTTGTAATTATGGAAAATTACATGCTAATGAAGTGCGGTGAATCATTGATACCTTGCTATTGCGTATGTTTGGCATGATTTTTTTGTCAGACTTGATTCTAATTCGTAAGATCCTGTGATGGAAACATTGGATATAGATCTATCTTCTATGTATACATATTTTAGCATGAAATATTTTTCTATCACCTTGCAAAATTATCAATTTTTTCGAGCCGCCTTTTGATGCAGAACCTGGTAATTCTGGTATTAAAATGCTGAACTTCCCAAAAGAGCACCCCCAATCAAGTCATCCGAAACACACTAGTAACAAAATTTTGCCCATCAAACGACCTGAGGGAAGTACCTTTGCCGGAGGAAAGCCCATCAACCTCCTCGTAAATCATTTTCTCGTCAGATTCAATCCAAGGGTCATCATTTTCCATTACAGCCTGGACATTAATCAAGTAACGTCTCGCGGGAAAAGACCCGTCAAAAAGTCCAGACACAAGGGCATCCTACGCTTGATTAGAAATAAATTGTGCCTTGACGACCCTGCTCGATTTCCACTCAACCGAACTGCTTATGACGGCGAAAAGAATCTGTACAGTGCAGTCCCACTTCCGACCGGCCAATTCAAGGTAGAGCTTTCTGATAGTGAAGATCTTTCAGGTATGACAAATTATCATGTCTCGATCAAGCTAATGAACGAGCTAAAGCTTTCCAAGCTGGAAGACTATTTGAGCGGAAAAGTTGCGCACGTGCCTCGTGACATACTGCAAGGGATGGATCTCATGATGAAGGAGAATCCTTCTAGATACAGAATCTCCATTGATCGGAATTTCTACCATTCCAGTTTCAGATTGGAAGATGATTTTAAAAATGGTGTTGCAGCTTACCGAGGCTTCCAATCAACTTTACGGCCCACGTCACAGGGCCTGGCCTTGGGCCTGGACAGTTCGGTTATGGCCTTTCGCAAGCCAATGCCGGTTTTAGAGTTTCTAAAGGAGAATATCCCCGAATTCAGCAGCGGGTCGGATCTCGACCCGTATTTGAGGAGACGGGTGAGTAATGCGTTGAAAGGATTGACGGTGAGAGTGACTCACCGTCTTACCAAACAGCTGTTTTCTATAACTGGTTTGACCGCACAGAGTACTCGTGATCTTTGGTTTGACTTTGTTGACCCGAATGGGCGGGAACCGACCGTTAAAGTCAGTCTAGTCGAGTATTTCAGGGAGAAGTACAGGAAGGAGATTGTTTACGAGGGTTTGCCATGCTTGATTGTTGGTAGAAATAATCGAACGAATCATGTCCCGATGGAATTTTGTGTCTTGGTTCAGGGGCAACGGTATAAAAAAGAGCTGTTGGGTGAAGCAGAACAGGAGAAGTTTAAGGCGAAATGTCTGGCTCGGCCACCCGAGAGAAGGCGAACAATAAGTGAGATGATGGAGGCATATGATGGGCCTTATGGGTGAGTTGCATTTTCTACAGAACTATCTATTACTTATTTGTTGTCGTCTTCTTATAGTTTTAGCTGTAGATAGCTTTTTGCTATGAAAATAAATGGGTATATTAAAACTTGAAAGACAGTATATTTGTGGAATTTTCGGAAAAAGAGTCCGATTTTTCTTGCATTAAATCATTCATGTATGTGTATGTGTAGATATAACCAACACATATATTTTTTCTGGATTCGTTTGGTTCTTTTGAGTCTTGCTCGAGCCGGATGATAAAAAATTATCATGTCCGGTTACATGGGGAGTATGGAAATTTGGTTATTCACCATGCCGTAATTGTTACAACATTGTATCGTATTGCAACACATGTGTGCGTTTGTGTATGTGTGTGTGTGTGTGTGTTGCAATTTGTTATTCATACTAAAAGGAAAGACTACTGTAGTTTAACCTCTCCTGTTCTGACTTACAGAGACGTGACGAAAAATTTCGGACTCCAAATCGATAAGAACATGACATCTGTCGAAGGTCGTGTCATAACCCCACCCGAGTTAAAGCTATGCACTCCCAATGGTACCGTCGATATCGTTCGAGTCGAAAACGAGAAGCGCCAGTGGAGCATGTCCGAAAACTCCGTCGTGGATGGCAAAAGGATCGAAACATGGGCTTTACTCGAATTCCGCTCGTCCAATTCCCTCGAGCTCAAATCCAAAGACTTCATCAAGAATCTCACGAACAAGTCCCGAAGCCTAGGGATCCACATGGAGGAGCCTCTACTCTCTCTCTCCACCGGCATGCGCGAGTTATCTTCCTTAACCACGTTGGAACAATTCCTCAGGAGGACCATTCGAGAAGCCAGCAATAAAAGCAGGACCAAATTGCAAATTATAATATGCGTAATTGCAGAAAAGCACCCCACCGGCTACAAGTACCTCAAGTGGCTATCCGAAACAAAAATCGGCGTAATCACTCAGTGTTGCCTGTCCGCGCATGCAAATCGAGGAGACGCTAAGTTTCTCGTCAATTTGTGCCTCAAAATCAACGCGAAGCTCGGGGGAAGTAACGCCGAGCTAATCCAAACACTTCCCGATTTCGATAACGAAGGAAAGGAAGGCCACGTCATGTTCATTGGAGCCGACGTGAACCATCCGGTCTCAAAAAGATCGACGAGCCCATCCATAGCTGCCGTGGTCTCTACAGTTAACTGGCCCGCAGTTACCCGCTATGCCGCTAGGGTTTGCCCTCAACACCACCGAACCGAAAAGATCCTCGATTTCGGGCTCATGTGCCGCGATCTCGTCGAAACTTATTTCCGGTTTAATAAAGTCCGGCCCAAGAAAATCGTCGTGTTTCGAGACGGAGTCAGCGAGGGGCAATTCGAGATGGTTCTGAACGAAGAGCTCTCGGATTTGAAACGCGCGGTGTGCACCGAAAGCTACGAACCGAAGATCACGCTCGTCGTGGCCCAGAAGAGGCACCAGACTCGTCTCTTTGTGGAGAATTTTCGGGACGTGGGGCCCACGGGGAATGTGCCACCTGGCACGGTGGTGGACGTGAAGATCGTGCACCCGTTCGAGTTTGACTTTTACCTTTGCAGCCATTACGGGAGGATAGGGACGAGCAAGGCCGTGAGGTACTCGGTTTTGTGGAACGAGAATTGCTTCACGCCAGATCAGCTGCAGAGGCTCGTTTATGGTCTGTGCTTCACGTTCGCGCGGAGCACGAGGCCGGTCTCGTTGGTGCCGCCGGTTTACTATGCGGACTTGGTGGCGTATAGGGGCCGTATTTTTCAGGAGGTGGCTAAGGAGGTTCGGGCACGGCCAGGGGCATTTTCGTCCGTTTCGACTGCTTTTGATAGGAGCTTTTACGAGCTCCATCCGGATCTTCGGGATGTGATGTTTTTCGTGTGAGGCTCTCGGGTTTTAAGGGTGATTTGGTGAAGATTTTCTTTCTGCGTGTGGATTGAGAGCGGTACCTCTCTGAGATTGTTTTTTAACTGAGATGTGGGAGTTTGTGTGTGAATCTATTGGACTCTGAATTTGGTGTAAGAAAGCGTGTGTGTGAATCTATTGGGCTCTGAATTTGCTGTAAAAAAGCGTGATGAGCGTTGCAGCATATATGTTTGTTTGCTTAAGGTACATGGTTGTGTAACCTTGTTGCTCTCTAGTACTTGAAATTTGATTATTTTTATTTCGAATTCATGAACTTCGGTTGCTGTTTCCAATAGGAAATGATATTTTTCATTGTAAATATTTGTTTTTTTATTTTAAAATTATTATAACATATAAGTTCAAAAAAGATTTGTAGATGTTATACGGACCTAGAAAGTCGACATCTTTTTATAAGATGGGGAACAACATGATGTATTGATGGAGACCCCACCTCAGCTGAAGAGTAAAAGGGGAAAAGGAACAAATTATAAATTAATTTATTATGCCGTTGTTAGCCACTTAGCCTACCTAAATATCACACAGTTCACAGTTGCATATTTTAAACAACAAAAATGTGTATCTACTGTATAAAATATCATACATTTATTTGTATTGTATTTAAAGTATAACATTAGAAAGAATAAGTATAGATCTTTATTGCATATGTATGATTATGAGATTATCTAAGGCTATGTTTGATAGCTAAATAAGTTAACTTATAGCTTATTTAGTTAGTTTATAAGCTTCCTATATTCAAATAAGTCTTGTTGGGTAGGACAAGTTTTTTAAAAAGCTCGAGCTTATCTTACAAGTTTCTTTACGTATCTTTTCAAATAACTTAGTTGAATTTTTTATTTCAGCTAACTTATCAACTAATTTTACCAAACATTTTTATCATATAAATTATAAGCTAATTTTTCAACTATAAGTTATTTATATATATATATATATATAATTATTATTATTATTATTATTATTATTATTATTATTTTTATTATTATTATTATTATAGCCCGCATAACCCGTTTAGCCAGAAGCCCGCTAGGGTTAGAGTTAGGTCTCTTTATTGGTAGTCCGTTTAAATTTGGACTTTTTAGGTCCGGACCATTTAGCCCGAAGCCCGCTAGGGCTAGCCGTTTAACATCTCTATTATTAGCTATCAGCTAGCTTATCAGCTAGTTTTACCAAACATAGCCTAAGTAGCTATCAAATGAAAAGTTTTTCATAAAAAATGTTGCATGTTGGGCGACCGGGATGAGAATAGAGGTTTTGAACTATGAGTACGAGATGAGTCAAGGGCCGAGACGACCCGAGAAGGTCGAGCAAAAGGCAAAAACAGCTTGCGCAAGGCCGAGAGACCCGTCAAAACCGCGCACACACGCAAACCAATGCGCCGGTCGACGGGCCAAATAGCGAAACAGGGGTACAGACTACGCGGGTCTGCGGGACAGACCGTGCGAGACCGCTCGACATAGGCAGTGGAGGTGCGATAGCGCGCACGACGGTGTTGGGACAACATGCGCACATAGCGCAAGCGGGCGCTTGTGAAGGGAGCCCGCTCATGCACAAGCGCATGCGCGTGAGAATACCGCGAGAGGCGGAAGCGCGCAATGTGCGCCGGCGTGCAGCGCAGGCGCGGCCGGTAGGTACACACGCATGAGGCGGAGGTGATGAAGATCACGTGTCTCGATACTCGGTTTTGCTTCAAAGGATACGAAGACCTCCTCCTTCACGGCGATAGGTTGCTCCAAAGGATGCTAGAACACCTCCTTCTCGGTGATAGATTGCTTCAAGGATGCTAGAACACCTCTTCTCAACGAGCTTATGATGAACAATGTAGTGAAACGCCTTTTTCGACATAAGGATTTTGTACTAAACCTCAAAAGAATTCTAACACGAGATTTTTTACCAATGGTCAGTTTTTCATTAATTCATTGCTTGACAAATAATGATGAATACATTGGGTATTTAAAGAAAAAAAAAAAGACTAATCCTATACTAGTCCTAGTAGAAATAAAATACTAATTCTAATGCAACTAAATATCTAATATCTAAGAATTACCTAATAATTAAAAACTCCTAACAATCTAAAAAGTTAACTACTAATGAACTCAGGTGATAATTAAATAAATAAGTATCCTAATACTAACTACTAATAACCTACGGCTAACTTTTATATATATATACTATCACCTCAGTTTGCTATGAAGTCAATAGCTGACTCCATAGTGGAGCCAACCTTCTATATACAACAATAAATTATACCATATTAATAAAATTACTAGTATTATTTAAGTAATAAGAGAATATGATATGATTTACTTGTTGTATATAGAAGGTTGGCTCCACTATGAAGCCAACTAGTGATGAGTTAAACTACTCGTGTTGGCATGGAAGTCAGCCCGGTAAACGGATTCCCTTATTTTTTACTGAACTGCATGTGAAAAGCGGCTAGCCTTCCTTCTGAGCCAGGATCAAACGAGACGAGATTGGATTATGTACTGAGATGATGCATTGGGTGTTCTCGAACATCACCATACGTTAAAGCTCGAGGATAGTCCCAAGAAAGACTACGCGGGACAACTGAGAGAGGAGCCAACTGTTGGCTTTATAGCAAAACTGACTATCACCTAACCTTACGCACTTAAATATTAATTATAACAAAGTAATTATTAATAAACTTGCCACTAACCTAACAATACTAACTTGCCATATAATTTAAATATTAATTATAACAAAGTAATTATTAATAAACTTGCCACTAACCTAACAATACTAACTTGCCATAATCACCGATACTAATTAAACAAAAACAAATAATCCAAGACTAATTAATTTAATAATAAACTAACTAATTAATTAATAAATTGGCCATAAGTCTTCTAGAAACTTCGTCCGTCTTGCCCGTTAAGTCACATCGCGTTCGTGCTTCAACCTCACGCCGCGAACGCATCGTGCGTTATCTTCGGGCGTGCGTCCCCGTATTCGAGCTCGCGCTCGTCTTTTAGACCATGCGCGCATTCTTCCGCGCCTTCGTGCGGCCTCACCCGATTGCTTTGGCTCTCGTCTCTCTCGTCCATGGGCATCGAAATCTCCATTCTCATCAGGAGGTTCCCACGCACGGACATGGCGTGGACGCACACACTAGATAGACACGCGGACGAGCCTGGACTTGGGAACATTGATGGGATTGGCCCTGCCGAGTCTAGGAGCGGGTAGCGGGCCTCGGGCATCGCGCGACCAAGCACGCAAAGGAGTGCGCGGGCGAGACGCGCGATCACACATGGCAAGTTGGTCGAGACAACTTGGCATACAAGGCTTGTAGAAGATTTGGGGACCAAGTTGGCCGAGATCCTTCTAGAAGGGCTGGCCGATTTTATTAGCCTGATTAATTAGGTTTTTATTTTTTTATTTTTTAGTTTAATTAATATTTTGATTTTAGGCATGTGTCTAATGAGGTATTTGGTAATCTTAGGATAATTAATTAATTATATCCTTAGATTAGAATTCTAATTCACATAGGTTTAGACTTAGTTATTCTCTTTAAAAACATGTCATTGTCATTCAATTGGAATAGACTTGAAAATTAATAAGAAAATTGATCGTTTTATCACATGTTAGAATTTAGAGTTTTATGGTAAAAACCTTGTGCCGAAGACGGCGTTCCACCGCATATAATCAGGGTCGATGCCGCTCTCTTATCATTTGTTGTTGATTCATGATCTTTTTTTTTTTTGAATTCCTTTTTGCGTAGGCTTATTTGCAACGCGAGTTGGGCTCTAAATTCAAGCCAAGAGCGGGTAGCATAGGGATGGTGTCAAGGAACTGATTGTCTGTTCTCCGGTCCGTCTTTGGATCCCATCCGGATAACGATATATGAGGATCAAAACATGCCGCTGAAAGACTCTACTGAGACAAAAATGGGCTGTCAAGAACGTAGAGGAGGTAGGATGGGCAGTTGGTCAGATCTAGTATGGATCATATATGGACAGTAGTTGGAGTCGGCGGCTCTCCTAGGGTCTCTCATCTGAGATCTCTGGGGAAGAGGATTAAGTTGGCTCTTGCGAACAACTTGATGTACTATCTCCCTTCGACCCTTTGCGCGTAAGGCGGCAAAAGAAAATGAAGGAAAATCCATGGACAGTTTATTTCGTTTTATCTTTTTTCCCACCTTCAGAAGAAAAAATGTACCCTATATTCTTAGATTTTTCTGAAAGGTAACTATCTCATTTTCGTATAGAAATTATATTATATAGAATCTTTGAAAAAGACTTTCCTTCCTAAGAAAGAAAAGACTTACTATCTTTGGGATCTGATCCTACACCGCTGCTGAAAACTTTAGTGGATCGACTCTATTACATAAGTGGATTTCTACATTTTATCTCTCATCATGACATAAGTACGCAGTTATTATTGTATCAGCCGCAAACCTCGCCGATTGATCTTTACGCTCATGCTACTGATTCCCTTCCGACCAGTTAATTCGAAGCTATACCCTATTTTTCATGTGTCCCTGGAACTGATTACCACCCCTAGGCTTGAATCCAGCACTCCTCCTTAATGCCTCTTTGTTGGTTTTATTTATATTGAGAGTAGAGGTCTTGCTATTGCATTTGGTCTCTTTCATCTGGTGAATTTTTCACTTTTTGGGCATTGATTCAAACCAGGAAAGCATCCAATCAAGACTGAAAATCTCGTCTAATAAGAAGAGCGTTAATTTCTATCTTACATCACGCTAGTCTCAGAACTTTGCCACCAGTCATGTTATTCACTGGATGGGTCAACTAGTCATGGTATAGTTGTTTACATGGTAGCTGGTTGGGTCAACTAGTCATGGTTTGATCTGTCTAGAAAACGTGAGAAGATAAAGAAAGATTTGAGTCGTGCACAACCCATTACCGAAAAAATACCAAGAAAAAAGTCGTGCAAAAAACTTTCGAAGCAAATTAAATTATCGAAATACCCTCTTCATAACACCGGCCCACCGAGGTCCAAGACTTGGTCAGCACGCAAGTTGTTTCCTCTCTTTCTTACCAATTTCTTTATTCGTGTCGTAACCATCGGTCTTTCTAGAATCGCCTGGACTTATCCCCCCATTTCCTCGTACCACACTCTCACTTACTCGCTAAGCAAAAGACCTTACACATATAATAATCCCCCAAATCCTCAATTTGCTAGGTCAAATCGAAATTCACTTATCTCTCTCTCTCTGAGGAAGCCGATAACTTATAAGTTTATTCTAAGAAGATGGAAGGCGGAGGAAACAACTTCGGACGCGGCCGAGGTCGAGGCCGCGGCGGCGACGGGCGCGGGCAGCAGCAGGGCCAAGGCGGCCGGGGGCGCGGGAACTACCGGATCCAGCCCAATCAGGGCGGCGGAAGGGGTCGGGGAGATGCCCCGCCGCCAAGCCGCGGTCCTCCCGCTCAGCCGCCGGCTAACCGGCTGCCGGTTCAGGCGAATCAACCCCCTCCCCAGCAAGCTTGGATCAGCAGGCCGCCGGGTCCCAGACAAACCGGTCCAACTCCTGTGGCTTCCTCCGGCGGAGTAGCCGGCGCTCAGTCTGGGAGGCCGTGGGGGCCATCTGCTGCTCCTAATGTCACTCCTGTTCAGCCTCAGCCTCAGTCTCAGCATCTGGCCAAATCCGGTCCACCTCCTGTGGGCCCCTCTGGCGGAGGAGCTGGCTCTTGGACTGGGAGGCCGTGGGGCCCACCAGCTGCTCCTACAGCTACTCCCGTTCAGCCTCGGCCTCAGCATTTGGCCCAGACGACTCATCAACCATCCGCAGGTACGGGAGCTTCTGTTCCTCAGATGAATTTTGAGTTAGATTTGATGAAAAATTTTATAAATTTATATGGATGTCAATATGTCACTGAAGTTTAGGCGTTTTTGTTATGATTCCATGTGACTCTTCACTGTGTTCAGCAGATGTGAGAATTGGGCGTTTGTTATGATTTCACTGAGATATAGAATTTAATTTACCTTTATTTCATTGTATTGAGCAGATGCCATTGATTTGAAAACTCTCAAGATAACCGAGGAGAAGCCTCAAGGGAGTCAGATCCAAGTCATGAGTCGACCTGACCGAGGAGGAAAGCTTGCCGTCAGGTCCATCAATCTTCTGGTCAACCATTTCCCCGTCAAATTCAATTCAGAATCAATTATCATGCATTATGATGTGGATGTGAAGCCTTGCGGTGAAAGTGTATCCTCAAAGAAAAAGTTGAGGAAGTCTGAAATGGCTCTGATCAAGGATAAGTTGTTTTCCGAACACAACGAGTTCAGCACGGCCCTGCTGAAAACTGTTTATGATGCTGAAAAAAATGTTTTCAGCGCTGTTCGTTTACCCACAGGTGTATTCACGGTGGATATTCCTGAAGGCGAGGAGGTTCGGAGGGGATCATACACTTTCACAATCAAGCTTGTGAATGAGTTGAAGCTTTCCAAGTTGAAGGATTATTTATCTCGTAACTGCTCGTCTGTTCCTCGCAATATATTGCAAGGAATGGATTTGGTTATGAAGGACAATCCTTCCAGGAAGAGGATTGGTGTTGGCCGTAGCTTTTATTCGCACAATTATCGTCTGCAAGACGATCTGAAGTGTGGAGTTGCAGCTTACAGAGGCTTTCAGCAGAGCTTGAAGCCCACATCACTGGGTCTCGCTTTGTGCCTGGACTACTCGGTCATAGCTTTTCGAAAAAAATGCTCGGTCATTGAGTTTCTCACTGAAAATGTTAAGGGGTTTAAAGGAGTAGGTGATGTCAAAAGATTGATTGGGGATGTTAATGGTGCTTTGATAGGGCTGAAAGTTAGAGTTAACCATCGCCGAACGAAACAGAAGTATACAATTGCTGGGCTAACTCAGAAGGATGCTCGTGATATTTATTTTGATGCTATTGATCCAGAAGGCTTAACACCTCCAACAAGGACAGGTCTGGTTGATTATTTTAGGGAAAAGTGGGGCAAGGATATTGTGTATAAAAATATTCCCTGTTTGGAACTTGGGAATCCGAGGAAGCCAAATGCGGTGCCGATGGAGTTCTGCGAATTGGTTGAGGGGCAGAGGTATCCCAAGGAGGATCTTGACCGAAATGCTGCTGTATGGTTGAAGAATTTATCACTGCCTAAGCCTGGGGAGAGAAGGAATACGATCAATGATATGGTCCGGGCTGATGATGGGCCTATTGGGTATGTTTTCTTGATCTTCTTTCTTACAGTTATGTTTTAATGTGTTACGAACTTAAAGATTTCAGTTATGCGTTTCCAGTTTCTGATCTCGCAGTTTGAATATGTTAACCCTATGTTTATGATCCATGTTTGTTATTCCCTTTAGTGTCTGAATGAATATGTCCTCTGTTTGAGATAACATATCCAGGATCATCGCAAGTATTCTTTGAAGCCAATACTTCTTTTGTTACTGAATTTTGGAAGAACAATTGTTCACCTGATGTTGTATCAGGTATTTCGCCATGAAGAACAATATATAAGGAACTTGCAATTGCATAATCTCTCAGCTTTGTAGTGATAAATACTTTGAATCAAAATTATTGTTGATTTGAACTGTTAGGTTTCCAATCTCTTATGCGCATACACGAGGATATTGCTATATTATGTTGAACTCTTGTTAAATTGCAGGGACGTTGTTGGAAATTTCGGAATGGAAATTGTTCCCGAAATGTCGAGTGTCAAAGGCCGAGTCATCCATCCACCCAAGCTGAGACTCGGGGGTACAGAACAAGTAGGAGTGGATGCCGAGAAATGCCAGTGGAACCTTCTCGGAAAATCCCTCGTTCAAGGGAAACCCATCGACCGTTGGGCCCTCATAGATTTCACCAAGGGTGACAGGTATAACTGGCTCGACGTGCGGCCCTTTGTCGACACCCTGATTGACCGTTTTCACCAACTGAAAATCGAAATGAAAGAGCCTCTTGTGTACCATCACACTCGCATGCAAGAATTCTCCTCCATCCAAAGACTCGAGAACCTCCTCAACAACGTCGTGCAAGAATCTGCCAGCATGGACAAGGAAAAGCTGCAGTTGATTGTCTGTGTCATGAGCAAGAGAGACGACGGTTACAAGCTGCTAAAGTGGGTATCCGAGACTAAACTCGGCGTGGTTACACAATGCTGTCTCTCGTCCACCGTCAATAACAACAAGGGACGGGACCAAACTTACGCTAACCTCTGCCTCAAGATAAATGCCAAGCTCGGTGGGAACAACTTCGAGCTTCTCAAAGAGCCTCGAAACTCGCGCTCGGACGATCACATCATGTTCATAGGAGCCGACGTGAACCACCCGGCCGCTAGCAACTTGTCGTGCCCCTCGATAGCTGCGGTCGTCGGGACAGTCAATTGGCCCGCGGCCAATCGCTACGCGGCCCGCATGGGCCCGCAAGCCCACCGTTGCGAAAAGATCGAGAATTTCGGAGCCATGTGTGTTGACTTGGTCAAAGCCTACGCTCAGGCCAACAACAACGTGAGGCCGAATAGGATCGTGCTATTTCGAGATGGGGTGAGTGAGGGGCAATTCGAAATGGTGCTCGGGCAGGAGTTTCTCGATTTGAAACGATCGATTTGCGACGAGAGCTACAACCCGAGGATTACGGTGGTGGTTGCCCAAAAACGTCACCAGACTCGACTTTTTGTTCAGAACGAGAGAGACGGGGGCAGGACGGGAAATGTGCCACCTGGGACGGTGGTGGACACGGATATCGTTAGCCCTCGGGATTTCGATTTTTACCTCTGCAGCCATTATGGGGGTATTGGGACGAGCAAGCCCACACACTACTATGTGCTTTGGGATGAGAATGGTTTCACGTCTGATGGGCTGCAGAAGCTGATTTACGACATGTGTTTCACGTTTGCCCGGTGCACGAAGCCGGTTTCGCTCGTGCCACCCGTTTACTATGCAGACCTTGTGGCTTATAGGGGCCGAATGTTTCAGGAGGTGTTGCTTGGGGCTCGGTCCTATGGGCTCGGTTCTCGTCATGCGTCGAGTTCGAGTTCAGGTTCATCGTCTTCTGGGGGTGACGCTTCTTTCAACCAGAGTTTCTACAACCTGCACGAGAGCTTGAAGGACGTCATGTTTTTTGTTTGATTAGAAAATTCGAACTTTTTGCTCAAGGAAAACCACGTCCAATCTCCTTTTTTCTGTAAGTAAAGGGGTTTGTGCGCGAATCTAAATTTTCCTGTTTTGAGGCTATGTTTTGGCTGCTTCTTTCGTTTTTCTGCCAAGCGGTTCGTTGTGAACGAGTTCGCCTGTGGTTGCATGAGGCAAGCTGGTCATGCTTTGAATGACTTTTTTTTTTTTTTTTGGGTTTGTGTGGTAATGTTAGTGGTGTGATGTGTGCTTGTGTTTTAAGTCTGGATTGCTGTTTATTTTGTTTCATCTGATGTTATGATGTTTTGTGTTGATGGTGTTCAGTGTGGATTTGATCTTGTTTTATCTCTGTTCTGTTTTCGTCAGATAAAAGAAACCTTTTCTGTGTAATCTTTTTCAAACTAATGAATGTACTATTGTTTTTCTTGTATTGCTCCTTTTTTAGATAACCAGTTTGCACTTTGTATTGGAGCCCTTTTGATGCCGATTATCAGATCCAAGCCTAATTTGTTTTCAGCAGTCTCATTTCTTGAGCCCAATCTGTGCCGTCCAATGTAAATTACCCAACAACATAAGATGTGAGGTTTCCCAGTTTCTTTTGTTAAAATCCTATTCCTATAATAGTGACAGTTATTTATTTGAAATTTTATGCGGTATTTTAGAACATAAAAATTTATTGATTTAGGTGTGTTTATTTGAGATACTGAGTGATATTTTAAGTTCTTTTAAAAATGGTCTTGGTGAAATAACTCGTACTCGTGACTTTTGAATACTTTTTGAAATGTTAATTGATTATCATTTTTTCTAACTTTTAAAAATACTAAATTAATAATGCCAAAATTTTGAAATTTTTAAAAAGTGATTCTAAATGCATGCATTTTCCTAAACTTTAATTAACATATGCGGTCCACTGTCTTTCCATTCGGTTAGTAGTATGTTCATTACATAAATATATGCATATATATACTTAGAGCCTAAAGGACAAAAAAACATTACATCATTGCATTATTGACCAGTACTTCTACTTCAATTTCAATGCAACTTCTTAGATATACTAGATTTATATTAACAAACACATAAATTACAAAATGGATAATAGCTAATCTATCTGAATCAAACATCTAATAAAACTAAATGCAAGAGAATTAGTTAAAAGCGGCT